TGTGTTCCAATGAGATTTGCGAATTAGGAAACACAGAGACAAGTGACATAAGAAAAAGTTCATATAGCTACGATAACGTTTATTTTCGCGTATTTTCCTTTTTTTCCTCCTTGGCTGCAAATAAATGTTATGGTTAAGCTTAACATGGTCTTGTCCTACAAGCGTGGCCGTCTTCAGCTTTATCATAAGGCCAAATGCTCTTTTTTACATTCAATGCATCATTTCTAACATTACTTATAATATGCAGTGTATATACATCCTCTACCATTATTTAGAACATTATATAAATCTCTACCATTAATTATATTAGAACATAGGCTCATCTCCACCATTCAGTATGAAGAGATATATACATCTCTACCATAAATTAGAACAGAAATCATAAGCATCTCTACCATAATTTAGAACAAATATATACATCTCTACCTTTAAATAGAACAACAAAGTATACATCTCTACCATTATTTAGAACCCACATACATCTTCACATAGATCTCCCGGTGATCGCTCCATGAGAATTCAACAATTCAACTTAAAACTGATATCTATATGTACACTAAAGCGTGTCACCCAGTTATTCAAAACTTCACTGAGACAAAGCCCATGTCTCAATTTGAAAATTTGAAGCATCTAATCCATTTGAAATATTTTTAAACCATTCTCGAGAAACCTTATCAGTGCTGAAATCAAAAGTTGCAAGCACATTACATTGGCTAGGTGCTACCTAAATAAGAAAATTCAGAAATTAAATGCAAAGGCATTACTGAGCCCTGCTCAAAATTAAAATTATACGAACGGCAGTTTCAATTAATTTCAGTATACACCTCAGAAGACGTAGCAAAGAAGTTTACATTTTCAGTGGGTTCTTTTTTTGCGGAATGTCTTTTTGTTGTGGTCCTGGATGTACGCGCGGTTGTCTTCCGTTAGCGCCAGCCACGCTGGGTTGGTTTGCTTGGCTGGCTCTCCCACCACACACTCTGTGATACGCAGTAACCAGAATCTCCTTGTAGCGCTCTCGGTAATTGCTGTTGCTCAACCCATAGATAACTGGATTGACGCAACTGGCGACAAACGTGAGCAGTGCGGTCGCGTGGTGTACCTCGGAATCCAACTCTACTTTTCCCGCCAATGCAAACACCCAGAGGATTTGGTTTGGCGCGTAACAAATGATTAGAGTGCAACAGACAACTCCCACTATCCGCGTCATTCTCGAGCGCAGTTTAACTTTGCTTGCCGCTGACGCAGCCGCGGACATCTTCACTGTATAAATCATGTGGATGTACAGGCCCATCATAGTGGCGCAAGGGAAAACCATTTTCACCACAGATTGAAAGACCCCTATCACGACACGCAGAACGGATCCTCCAGCAATAAACTGGAACTCGCAGATTTTGTTGGGTGAGGCTCTGTACACTGTTTCAATCATTCCTGAACCTGCCGATAAAAACGCACATACCCAAGAAGAGAAGATGTAGCAGGTAATCTTTTTTCTGCTGAAGGCGTCGTTGTACTTATGAGGCTTAACTACAGCAAACCATCGCTCCGCCGTCAGCGCTAAGCATATGTAGACGGAGAATACCACCAACTGGAAGAGAATCGCCCGGCTCCATATGAGTCGGCAGAAAAGCTCGCCCAGGACAGGACCAGTTGGATAAGGAAAAGAGTCAACTAGAACAAAAGCCGGGTTTGTAATCAAGCTCATGGCGGTCAGAACATCAGCGATAGCCAGGGAAAAGATTAACGTGTTGTAGGATTTCTTTAAAAGCTTCTTATCAAAGATGAAGACAAGAATAACAAGCGTGTTTCCAAGTAATGCCACAAGGGAAACTATGGAGTAGATGACTTGACTGGCAGTGGTACTTCCAGAAACTGTTTGGCTGACGGCAGAGCTTGGAGACCTTGCTTCCTCTGAAGAATTGTTCGGCCAGGAAGAATTCATCGTTACTTCGCTTTGTTTTAGATAAAACACAAAACTTTTGCCGCTCTTAATTTATCCATGAGTTGATGCTCTGATTCTCATCTCCCTTTTCTGAAACGACAAAGAACTGAACTGAACTTTAAGATGAGAGCAAGAATTTGGTCGTACTTTCCCCACTACATAAGCGGTCAAAGATTTTTGTACAAAATGTGCCACCTACGTTAAACGGCCCTAGTCAGCCACATCTTTGTTTCTGTTTACATACGAGAATTGGCTATTACATTTTATTCGG